ATTTTATATTTTTCATTACAAGTACTTAAAAAATAATTTTTTTTTAAAAAAAATTCTTGCTGTTTACATAATTATATCAAAATACAAAGTGATTTGAAGTCTTAAATTGAAAAATAGAATGTAAAAGTAAGTCTTATATTGAAAGTGACATAAAATTGAAACCTTCGAATAAAAATGTTACAAATTTAGGCCTTATTGTGACACAATAACAACAAGTCAAACCCTACAATAGAATTTCCCATTTAACTTTGTGGGGTAAAAAAAAAAAGAAAAAAAAAATTAGGCAAGTGAGAGTCCAATTCAAATCATTTCACTTTAAGGTCCTACTTTCAGTGGCGGAGCCACACCTTGTGGCTGGGGTCAGCTGACCCCTATGGATTTCAAAATTTTTAGTATAAAATACTGTTCAAACACTGTATACTAGGTTAATGACCCCGTTAAAAAATATTGCCGACCCCGGTGAAATTTGAGGCTGGCTTCGCCCCTGCCTACTTTCTCTATAAATCCACAAAATTCATAAGAGAAAATATACGACACTTTTCAACTTTCCCTTTGTAGTTCACAAGTGTTAAAGAAGCATTAATGATCACTGTGCCAGCCAACAAGCCAGTTAATCTGTTTTAGCTTTTGTCAGTTACATCTTCACATTCTCGCTTTTTGGCATTCATTTCCCTCCATATTTGTTCTCTGCCCCAAAGGAAATTAAAAAAATAAAAATAAAAAAAAAATAAAAAAAAATGATAAGTATTTCAGCTGCAAAAGAGTGTTTTTCGCTATGCACACTCTTAATAATAGTAATACTTTTCCAGATCTCTTATTCCCAGATCTCTTATTCCCAGAACTCTTATTCCAACGTCACTTACGACAGAAAAGCTCTCATCATCAATGGCCATAGAAGAATATTATTTTCAGGCTCAATCCATTATCCCAGAAGTACCCCTGATGTAATTGTATTTTTCTTTTTTTTTTTTTAAATTATTATTTTTTTTTGCTTCAATATTCTTATTTTGTTTATTAATTAAAAATTATTATTAAATTGCGGACAATGCAGATGTGGAAGGATCTTATTCAGAAGGCTAAAGATGGAGGGTTAGATTGTATAGACACTTATATATTTTGGAACGGCCATGAAACCTCACCAGGAAAAGTACAGTTTATTTATTTATTTATTTTTCTAGAAAAAGTAAATGAATAATTTATTTATTTGTTTGTTTTTACTTTTCCCCAATAATAATTTCCATTTTTTTTTCTTCAATTTACAGTACAATTTTGAGGGAAGATATGATTTAGTGCGGTTTGTGAAGTTGGTCCAGCAAGCAGGGCTGTTCATGATTCTCCGCATTGGGCCTTATGTGTGCGCAGAATGGAATTTTGGGTGAGGATATTAATATTATACATTTATTCCTTTCTTTTTTTTTTTTTATTTTGAAAAGACAAAAACAAAAAAAAAAAACAAGATGGCCTTTTTTTTGAATGCTTTATTTATGTTCTGTTTTGGGACTCAGAGGGTTCCCTGTTTGGTTGAAGTATGTGCCGGGCATTGCCTTCCGAACCGACAACGAACCTTTCAAGGCGCGTTTGCTAATTTTTCACATTCTTACTTTTGCTTGAATCTATCTCAGTAGAAGAATCAATCATTTGATGTAAAATGGGCTATTTCAGATGGCAATGCAAAAATTTACGACGAAAATCGTCCAAATGATGAAGGATGAGAAGCTGTTCCATTCTCAAGGTGGCCCAATTATTCTCTCCCAGGCATGTGTTGGGTTCTATTTCATGTGAAATTTGTACATTTAATGGTTTAAATTAAATTGACAAGAATGGTTTGTTTCAATTATTTTCAGAGGCAAATAAATAACTAATTTACACTGGTTACATATATATATATATATATGATTTAGATTGAAAATGAGTATGGTTCAGAAAGCAAGTATTATGGTAGAGCTGGACGTGATTATACAAACTGGGCTGCTAAAATGGCTGTCGGCTTAAATACGGGCGTGCCGTGGGTTATGTGTAAGCAGGATGATGCCCCAGATCCAGTGGTAATGTTTACTTTTTTCGATATCTATAAACCGACCCCTGAGGATTAGCTTAACTGGTGTGATAGTCTCCTAAAACCTCCGAATGATCTTCCTTAGTTTA